GTCAAAGATAGTTCTATTACGCCTATTCCACAGTATCCAAAGGACAACCCCAAAAAAGGTGGGGCAATGCCTTTATCAGTCTCTATCTTGTGGTTGTTCAGGAGATTATCATTGACCCACTGCTTTATATTGCAGTTTAAGAGTCTGCCAGTTTACTCGGATGCACAACTTGTTTCCATTATGTGATCGCTGTCGAGCATTTTGAAAGACGTGGTCTATATCTTCATATGGCTCTCCACATATTGACAGCTGCTATCAAGCTCCATATGTCTACATTTGTAAGTAACTTTCCTTTGCGAGTAGCCAGATGATGGTCTTAATCATGGGTAGACTTTGGTGTTTGGTTATTATAGTCCAAAGGTCTTCTTCTTAGATTGTAGCTCTCTGGTTCACAAAATCGTATGCAGACTTCACTGTGGAATCTCCTGTTATCCGTGCCTTTCCAATCTTGTGTATCATTTAGGTCATATCTAATTGGGGGAGATGACTTCCATGTATTTTAAAGCTTCTTCAGGTAGGAGACACCTTAAGAGATTCCAGTTCCATTCACCCTTGCTTGTAATCATATCTTTTTTTGGTTACATGTGATCATATCTTTGACTTTGCATGTTAAGCCTATTAATTCTTCTTGGTGCATGCAATGGTTTTTAAGTGGTCCCAAGTCAGGTATCCATTGTCGTTCTAGAATTCAACGTCGCCGCCATTTCCCAAGTTCCAGGTAATGTTCGAAATAAGGTTGCTCCATATTTGTTTACGCCTCTCCAGAGATTGGATCCCTTCCGCTTGTGTATGCTTCTAGGTAAATTCTCTCTAACCTTGTATTTGCTACGTAAGATTTGACCCAGGCTTCATCCGTTTTGGTTATAATTTGAAACCCGACCTTCATGAGAAAAGCGTCGTTTTGTAGTCTCATTTTTCTGATCCCTATTCCTCCTTTTATTCGTTTAAATAGTTGATCACACCCTAATAGGTGTGTGCTACTACCTCCAGTCCTCCACGATTTCCCCCCAGATGAAGTTTCTGATGAGCCTTTCTAATTCATCGCAAACACCGGAAGGGAGGTTGGCGGTTTGCATTTTGTAATACGGAATAGTTGAAAGTACTGCCTTGGTTAAAGGTGATCCTCCCTGCTAAGGAGAGGGATTTGGTTTTCCAACCAGCTACATGGTCTCTAATTCTCTGAATTAGATTCTAGTAAAGCGTCATATTAACTCCTCAGTGTATGGTTGAGACTCCAAGGTACTTTCTCATGTTCTCCACTTCTTTGAATCCAAGTGTCTCACTGATTCTCATGCGTGTTTGATTATCCACGTTCTTGGAAATAGAATGATGGTCTTGGCGTTGCTTATTTTACGTCCTAAGCTTTGATAAAATCCTTGAAGACTCTTTGGATGATAGCTGCTTGGCTTTCCTCTGCACCTCCAAACAAAATTAGATCACCAACAAACTAAATGGGTTAAACCGGGCTATATTGGATAAAAGGATTGGTTTCCAACTTCCATGTTTGGTTTCAGTCGTAATTGCGTGTGCTAAACGTTCCATGCAGAGGAGACTATTCAAACACAAATTCCCTTTAACTTTCCTTAATAACCAAACTAGTCCTTCACTCTTAACCTTAGAATTCAAGCTTCATTCATCAAACAATAATTACACATCAATCTGTTACGTTTTTAAATTGGCAAATTGGTCCTCCATAATATATCCTTGAATTTTCGCTTCAATCACCACTTTAAAATTTTCTAAACACTTAACCCTTTATGACAAAACTCAAAAACAATTTTTTTTTATCTCAAACCCTAAACTTTTCCATGAAAGTCAAATAGGTTCCCATGGCTTTAACAAATGTTTTTCAACTTCAACCGAATATAAAAATGATAAAACATGATCTAAGCTTTCATAATCCCTCAAATTCCATAACATATACTAATCAAAACCGTGAACAAATGGCATCAATTGTAGAAAATTTAATGGAGAATAAAATTAGATTTCATGTCTAAACATTATATCCAACGTAAAAAGCTTTAAAAATGAAATTAAAGCTTGAGTTTCTTTTGAACTTCAGAAGCAAAATTGGGGAATTTTTTATGTTTCTTTTCTTTTGATTTAGTCCTTTTTAACTATTAATACTTAAATTCATTTTAATGCAAAATGACCACTTTTCCCTTATAATCTAGTGTTTCTAATCAAGTCACTTGTCAATTTTCTCATCCAAACGCTGAAATTATATCAATGAGTTCGTAGTTGATAACTTTGCCCTTAAAAAATCTAACGGTTTAGATTTAATATGAAAAATCAACTTAAATCTAATGTTTCATATTAAATCTTATCCTTTTAAACATAGAAAATGACTTCTTTACCCTTTCTCTATTATCTAGCAAAATTTCCTAAATTTTAGATTCGATCCGATTATCGAATTTTTCCCGAACTTTCATACTTCATAGCCTTTAACACAAATTCTGTATGAAACATCTAGGTAACACGAAAACATTATTCTTGCGGATAAACTATCCATTTACGGGAATAAAATACCTATTTTTGAAAATTATCATTTAATCCCCAAACTTTTCTTAAGTTTATATTTTAGCCACCAACCTTCATTTTATTCATTTTGATCCCTAACCAAAATTTGGAGATATTACAAGTATAATTTTAAAATTTGTTAGTTGCGAAGCTTATCTTTTTAAGGTATATTTGAGGCTTTGACTAATATTTTTAGATGATTAATTATTGTATGGTTTGAATCGAGAGTGTTAGTTTGCTATCAGCTATCATCATATCTTAGAGATTATTTGTTGGTTTTTTCAGGTATATGAAAAGGAGCTAATTCCTCCACGGTAATCCCTCGAACAATCGAAATCTGAAGTTTCATTTGTCTACCTATACAAATTAATCATTGTCTAGTCAAGTTTTGATGAGATTCAAATGAAGAAGAATGAGACAATCAAAAAGAAAAAGAGTAAAGATAATAGAAGAGATGAAATGTAAAGACGACGGTTAAACAGTGAAAGATAAATGAAATATATTTTTGTACCATTGCATCACAGGTATAATGTTGTATGACAAAAGTGATCAAATTTGTTAATGTTAAAATACTTTATGCATAAAGTTGAGATAAAAAATAATTTGTACGATATAAGGTATTCATTGTTTAGAATTTTTTTAAGTTTATTGACAATGCATACATACCATGCAAACCAAGTTACTCAAATTCAAATCTTACAAAAAGAACAACATTCTCTTTTTACTATTAAGACCGCTAATAAAACTAATTAATTTTATGCTCACAACGCATTATATATTTACTTGTGTGTGCTTTTAGAAATTAGGAAAAAACTGCATTATTTTTCCATTCATATATTTCGTAGTTCTGTTTTGGTCTCTCAATTATTTTTTTAAAATCATATTTAACGTTACGTTTTGATCATCCGATGTTAAAAAAGAAGCAGTGATGTTGACATGTCATTGTGAGATAATGTTACGTTATAATTAAAAAAATTACATTATGATGACACATTGATAATTTTATTTATTTATTGGTAACAGAGTCAAAATAGAATTAAAGCATAATGTTAAACATATATTTTTTAAAATTTGAGTGATCAAAATAAAGTTGTAAGAAAAAATGGGTGACTAAATAATAGTTTAGCAAATTATATTGAACGACCCGAAATTGTGAAGTAGCACAACACCAAAGCAAGGCGTAACCATGGGCAAACTATAACAGTGACCGTCTAACTATAGCCTATTTTTATTTTGACCACTTTTTTTGAATTTTTGTCAATCAGGTCACCTAACTATTTAAATGTAGTTAATCAGGCCACTTGCCGTTAACATTTAACGGAAGTGCTGATGCGACAGTTAATAACATTGGTATATTTACACATTTAGTCAATATTTCTTATATATTATATCAATTTGTTCCTAATTTTAATAAATTAAAATAAATTTAATCTTAAAATATCGTGTCATATGTCACTAGTGTCAAATATCATGACACTTGTTGCCACCCAATTAGAGGATTTAATTTATTTTAATTTAATAGTTTTGTTTTCCATCAATCAGAGGATGACCCAAATCATTCACATTATCTTTTAAGTCACCACTGTAAAAGTAACTAGCAAATTCCATAGGTTTTTTCGTTTTGTTGCATATGAAACAAGAATGTCAAAAAGAACAGAATCATCCTTGAGTTTTTCCCTTAATTTTTCAAAGGACTGGTGAAGCTGACTGGAAGATGAGGTATCCAATGCCAGACCATGTTTGCGACAAAAAGCTTCAAACTCTTTAAGCTTTCTCATATCAGGTTCAGGATGCCTTCGCCATAATGCACTACCGGGAAAAGCTCTAGATATTACTTCTGCAGCTGTCATTTTTGCCAAAAGCATGGACTCCTCAACAAGAAAATTTGAATCCATCCGCTCACTTATACTTCTATCGTATGGAACACCATTTTCATCAAATAGGTAAACAACTTTAGCACTTTCAAGTTGTAGAGCATCACCACTAAATCTTTTCTCCTTCAAAGTTTTTAAAGTTACATGAAGACTTTTAACAGATCTAATAATATCAGCCCATTCAAATTTTCCATACAACTGAGGTAATCAATTAAACCCATTAGACATGTTAGCAATTACTATGGCTATGGCTGCCATTAAGATAAAAAATAGTTGGAGGATCACATTAATCTTTTTGGAAGAATTTGAGGGCCTCACATATATAGCATTATGCCAAAAACAGAGAAGAGAAAGCAACATATTTTTTTATTAATCTGGGTTAGTATAAGTTATTATATGTTTAAAGATAACTCTCAATCATCTTACATGAACGCTCACACTCTAACATTCATGTTGCTCGAACCCAATATCTCAAAATATAAAAATAATTCTTTTACCACCAAGATTACCTGATTCGAGCAACAGTAAATCAGCATGTTGAATATTGTTGATTATAATTCATAGCACGCTGCTTTGCTCCCTTCTTGCTCTTTAGGTACGTTTCAGATGAAAATTTTGAAGGGGACTTCAGTAGGCCTAAAGCCCATTTATTTAAGCCCATCAAATATGGTAAAACCTTAAGCCGGACTAATGCAAGCAAGCTCAGAGCAGAAGCACCGAGTCAGAGGAAAATAAAGGGGATGAGAGAATAGGAGGGCCTTTGCTTACCATAGGGGATCTGCTTAGCGACGTTGGGGAGGAATCCGGTGAAGCGCTTGAACACCGTCCCCGCCGTGATGCCACTCTCCCACCACAATCACTTCTTGATTCCGTTGATGCCTTATCTCAATCCTTGGACCTCATCAAACTCTTCCAGGGTCCTTTATTGTTCCTCAATATTTACATCATCATAGTAAAACCCAAATTGGAAAAGCTTTTAATTCCTTCTCTCTCTCTCTCTCTCTCTCTCTCTCTCTCTCTCTCTCTCTCTCTCTGTACATTCTTATGTTTTGTTTTAACAAAAGTTTATTGCTTGAAGCCTTGAACCAAGTTGAGTTGTTGAAAAGTTTAGCAATTGATCCATAACTTTGGAATCTAAAGTAAACCTCTCAATGTCTAAGTTCCAGATTAAAATGGCTAAAATTATTTAGGGTATTTTTCTTCCTTTAATTTGTTGAAACTGTTAAGTTTTTGTTGTTGCTGAATGCTGATGTCCTCCTTGACATTTTCTCCTCGTATAAATCACCCACGTGTTAAATCATTTGCCATTTCATTTCAAGCTCTATTATACATGATGGGAAAACAATTACACAACCAAGTTCCGTTCATTATTGCCTTTTGATTTGATTTTTAAGTATTTTTGTAGCTTTGAATCATATGGGATGGTTCGATACATCTTCATGATTTGTGCTGGTAAATGCCTGAAATGAGCAGTCTATGTGTGTTTTTTTTTTTGGGAAAGCTTGTTTCTTTGCTATGTCAAACGCATAGTGGTTTCATTCAGGAAAACTTCGAGAAATTGAAGGTGGCACTCGATGATTCAGATCATTCATGGACAGCTCTAACTTTAGAGGTAATTAGATAATCTCTTTTAAAGCATGTATAGAACAGCTTCCCATTGCTTATTTTCAGTTGTTCCTGTTGCAACTTATGTCATGCATTAGCCTGAGTATATATTCATACTGGTTAGGGAGCTGCAGTTTTACTTATTGCTTGAACTAGAATCAGTTCTCCAATTGGGGCATTAATTCTTTGATTCTAGCTCTTGTTCAAGCATCCTGCATTCTCAGTTTTGTTTTGACAATTTCCGTTGAAGAAGTTATTTTGACCTATGTTACTTGGACTGAGTGTGAGTGTCGAATATGAAAACGTGTCCGACATAAGTATTCCAATTCTGTTACATTTTCCCATTTATCTGGTTGTGTCTGATATGTATATCAAAAGTTCAAAAAAGCTGAGGAGTCGGACCATTATAGATTTCGATGATTCTAACTGTTAACACATTGCCCTCTGTTTACTCCAGCTATGCACTGCTTTGGAAACTGCAAACAAGTTGGTTCAGTCCAGCGACACAAATGTTCGATTGCTTTCAGAGAGGGTGAGGGAATTTGAGAGGATCATCAAGAGGGGAGATTCTGCAGTTACAGCGGCCAGAGCCATCTCCATCTCCCTAAAGCAGGGAGGAGGATCGTCTGTTTCTAGTCAAAACCGAGAAATATCCAGGTCTCCTTAATGGCATTTAAAGTCATTGACCTTGTCTTCCACTTCTTGGAGGCGGTTTGTTTCTTGGAAAAGGTCCCAAAATGATCCAAGAAGAAATTCCAACCTTTTCCAAATGAACTTTTGCATTGTGCATTTGGTCTAGTAGAGTTTTGTTTGATAGTGGGCGTTTGCAATTTGTTGTAGAGCCTGCTATCCCCGTTCATACACTGGGCCTGAAATCTCATAAATCCAACTTCGAGCTTTGAACGCTGATGTTGAACTCCTAACGTTCCCTTCGGTTCCTTTTCCTTTCAATAGGCCTATTTCTTTAACAATAAAATCACCCTCTTTTTTAACATAATTTAACCTCTAAATGATGCTTTACAAAACTACATAAAAAACTCTTATTTCTTTTTTAAAGATGGTATGTATTAACAAATGGGTTGATTCTCTCTAAGCAAAGACAAGTTATATTACACCTCCAATTTCCCATTAATTTGTCCCAACTTAATTATCTCTGACACATCAAAAGTAAATCCTACCATGTTTAACAGGTAATATAAAATAATCATCTTTTAACTCCCAACACCAATCTACTCATCGCAAGAGGGATTCTAGTACTTCTAATTTCCAATAATATGTTCAACATATATGTACTCTCTCAACTAATACTTCTAATTCGATAATCATACGTTTAAATCTAATAACCGTATTTAAGCTGACAAATCCACTCGTCGTTTTTTCAATTCTTGGATTAGAATTTTCAATGCACGGGAGAACTGCACCTGGTTTAAAGATGCGCCTAAGCGTATTATAAACATAAAATTAAGATTAAAAAACTAAAGAGGCAGTATTAACTTGAAATTATGGCTCCACGTGGAAGACAAAGAAACGGTCTGCTGGTTGGTCTACTACATGAGAAACAAGCGTTAGTCTAACTACATGGTTCAATTAGCTACATGATTAAGTTAATTAGAGGTTTCGCTATCAACTCCGTTGCAAGTTGCATTTATTTGGGTTTTGTTTTACGAAAGCTTGATTTGCTAGTTAACATTAACAATCTTACAAAAGTTTGAGGCCCACAAATCTACTTGCTGGTTATCGGGAAATGTCTGAAAATTCCTCCCCAGAATTATGGCATCGCTTCAAGGAAGTAGGCAAAATCAGACAAAGTTCTGTTACTTGCGTGCCGTTCGGGAAATAACCAAGACCTGAAGCGAAGAAGATCAGAGGGATGCTAACGAGTCAAGCTTAAACGAATAAAATTATGTTTCTGTCTATTTATTTATTTTTAAAAGTGTTTATATTCGATTATTATTCGTTTAAAATTTTAATATCACGTTCATTTGTTATATGTTTAAGGCGTTTGTGTCCAGTTCATTTAACGTTTACAAATATGTTTGTTTAGCATTCGTCAAAATGTTATTTCAATATTTGCTAACATGTTTTTCATAATGGTGAAATTATGTCATTAGTCCTGTTAATTTTTCAGTGTTTTGTTAATTTTTTAACGGAAGATGATCAAGTACGTAATCTACCGTATCATAAATATCTCAACTTAAAAAATTATTTGCAAAGGCTAATGAAAAGACATCATTGAAGCTGTGTTGTGTAATAGTGATATATTGATCATTAAATTAAGGGTCTGTTTGTTTCACTGAAAACGTTTTCCGTAAAATGAATTACATTTTCTGGAAAACGTTTTACAAAGATTGGAAGATGTTGTTTAAACCATTTTTTCGCTAATTTATTATTTTTTAAAAAATTATTTATTACAAATATTAAATACAATAAATAATATTATTTATCATAAAACTTAATATTATTATTTTTAAAATATTAAAATAATTCATTTATTATTAAAACATTATTTTTATAATTTTATTAATAAAAATATTAATATTGGTATATTTTATTGCGCTAAAAATATTATAAATTATATTAATTATTTATTAAAGTAATAGTGTTATATTATATTTTAAAAATATTAATTAGTATATTTTAAATATATTTATTAAATATTACTAGATTATTATTAATATTAAATATAAATAATATTATTCATTATTAATAATTTAATATATTATTTCTATGAAATTAATGCATAATATAAATTTTATTAATAATTTATATATATTATTAAAATAAACATATAATATCTTATATTATTATAATATAATTGATTATTTTATTATAATATTAAAAATATAATATTATTATTAGAAATATTAATAAATATATTTTAATAATTAATATTTTGATTAAAATGATATTAAAATATTTTATTAATATTAAATTCATAAAATAAAATTATTTTGAGTATTTATTCTTTGAAGTAAAAAGTTTTAAAAATGACTTATGGAAAATCAGACAGTAAGTCGTTTTCCAGAAAACACAAAGGAAATTCTGTTGACTAGCAAAATGTTTTACGTTGACCAACCAGTTTTTCTCCAACCAAATACTGAAAAATGAGAAAAACGTTTTACGTGAAACAAACGAACCTAAGTGAAGTATATTAAACAATTAAGGGAATATCGTGGTCTTTACAAAGGACAAAGGAATCTCATCTCTTATTGGGCTAATTATGGTATTAATATTAAACCAAATTTTATAATGACTTAAGTTGACAACTATTCAATTAGTGTGAAATTAGAAAAAAAATATTTGTCAATATTTATATTGGGCAGTGTTTTGATTTGATTTATGATTTCTTAATATTTTTATAATAAATCATTACCTCTTCCCTTACAATTAATTATAATAAATAAAATATAAATCATTTACTTATTCCCTTACACTTATTTTTTGAATTATTTTTATAATTCACTTTTTATATCAATATTTTTTACCAGTCCTCATCACATATGTGACAATTTAATTTATATTAATAAACCATTTACTGTATAAGTAAAAAACACCTTTATGCACATAATTTGGTTATATGTATCTATCAAACGATGACATATCCATTATAGTGACATTCTTATACACATTTTACATAAAATTTAATATTGTGATTTTTTAATAAAAAAAACAAGAATGAAAACTTGACTTTGCAAAGGTTTGAATATTGTATATAAACACCTACAAAAAAATATATATATTCAATAGTGTTAGGTTCAACGAAGCTTGTTCGATCAACAAAAATATGCCGAGAAGTGATGAATTGACTTTTTGAAGTTTTGGGAGTAAGGAGTATAAGATAGGAAATTTTGCACAATGATTATAGTGGTTTAACTCCCTCAATGAAGTCTACATACACTATCTAAGCTCCTCACTCAAGATTTTTCAAAAAAATCCACTAATTTGTTCTTTATTTTTAAAGGATCAAGAGTAACATTTACAACTCCCTAGTTTTTCACTTGGCTAAACCAGAACCAAAACCCCTTTACAAAGGATAAGAAATATGTAAACAAGAAGACCTCTCTAGGTCGGTGTTTACAAAGATTTAGCTCACAAAAACAAAACCTAAGGATATACAATTGAGTTCAAAACACAAATATTTACGAGAGAAAGAAAATTAGAATTGAAAATTTTTATCTTGTGTTTTAATGCTTGGATAGGTGTTGGTGACATTCTTCAAGTGTCTTTAACTTCATTTTTATGTTGGGATGTGTTTTTGACTGTTACTAGCCGTTGGGGATGTTTCGGAGCCATTGGGATCAAAATAGTCGTTACTTGCAACTTTTAAGGCACAAAGGATCGATCCTTTTACCAAAGGGATCAATCTTTTTTCAAATATTTCAACCGTTATGCCAAAGGGATCGATCATTTTCCTCGAGGGATCGATCCCTTTATCAAGGGATCGATCCTTTGAGCCAGAGAAGCTTGGAAACATGACATTAAAGCACGAAAACAATCGATTAAGTTTTGAAAAGGTTCGACTAAATTTGAAAAACATTTAAAAATATATTTTTAACTTTTATTTGGACTTTGAATTATTTTTGAAGACTTTGAATAAATTCAATTTAGTCTAAAAACATTTTGCCCTTATTTGTTATAGCAAAATATAAGTTCTACAATCTCTCCCTTTTTGCTATAACAAAACCTTTGAAAAATGGTTTTTTTTGGCAAAACTCACATTAATAAGACATTTAATGAAAAAGGAAATATTTTGGAAAATATTAAAGCTCCCTATTTTTCATTCTTTAAATAGAATTTTTCAAACCTATACTTCTCCCCCTTTTTGTTATATAAAAAATAATTCAAACTTTAAGGTACAAAATAACAATAGAAAGTAAGTAGTAATTTCAACATTAAAATCATTTGAAAAATCAAAAGTTTCCCCTCAATAAATGCATTCGAAACAAAAATATGACTTTAAAAGCTTGACACTTAAAAGACATTGAATTTCAACAAAGATGAACAAACATGTTAGTAGCACATGAAATTCAATATATCCAAGTCTAATATACTTTATGCAATACCAATTGTTGTATTTAAGTGCATGTGCATAAAGCTATCCAAAAATGTTATGTGTTTGAAAAATTAATATCAATTTTTAGAGAGATATCATATGTAATAAAATCACTGACATAAACATTTAAATTAAGGTCAAAAATTAAAATTTGTAAAAACAAAACATTAAAACTAATTTTGACCAAAATTTATTATGATGAACAAACATTTATGAAAAATCATTAAAATTTTATAAAATGTTCATCACAACACTTTTTAACATACATGAGATAGAAACATAAAATCATTTAAAATCAAAACTCATGCATGTTTAAACCAAATGAGCAACCAATTATGCAAGATAATCAAAATAAACTTAGAAGTTACCTATTCCATATCAAGTGTGGTTAGAGCATTTGAATATCTTCATTTTTGTCATCGTTGCTCCCACATACCTACAAGAGACATTTAATTGGATTTTGGTATCCAAATTGCTTTGGATCCTTGAACGTTAGTTTCAATGCCCATTGTTCCCTTTGGAACCCATACTTGTCTAATTTTAAAATGTTTTCCTTTCTTTAAAGGACAAGCATGTTCCATATGACCATGATAATGGTAATGTGACCATTTTTCCATTATGAAACTAGATGAATTATTTAAAATGATTTCTTTTTCTTTTGTTAAGCATTCAAGCTTAACTTTTAAATTAAAATTTTCTTTTTCAAAATTTTCAATTTTCATTTTTGAAAGCTTTAAATCATTTTTCAAAATTTCATTTTGATTTTAAAAATTTCATTTTGATTTTCAAAATTTCATTTTGATTTTCAAAATCTATTTTTGCTTTCAAAAGAAAATCGTTTTCTACTTTAAATTTT